ACACCGATGCTGAAGATAATCGTAGCCTCGGAGATAATTTGTCCGGCAAAAAAAAGTTGAAGGATCGGACGAAACTTGTCCGTTTTGAACAAGAAAATCCCCCTCTCCACAACGCTGTACTGCTCGTGCAGCTTATTATTGGCAGTGGGTGACGCAACGTTCTCCTCACTATGCCTCGCATGCGCAAACCAACTTTTTCTCTCGCCGGATATAGAGTGTAGACAGTACCACACGAATGCACTGATACGAAAACACAACACTAACACCGATTCTTTCGTATAAATTCTTAAAAAAGTCAGATTTGATACTATTTCTTGTCGGCTATAGTGATGCACAACGATATCGTCACAGATTGTATCTTTCGCGTATAAAATATACACTTAAATTTAAATAAATGTTTTTTTATATAAGTTTATTTTTAAAAGTTTTTATATTTAATTTTTAAAATATTTTTATAATTATTTAAGAAACTAATATATTTATAACGTTGGAAAATTATTTACTTGCATAAAAAAATATATAATTATTAACAATTTAAAAAAAAAAGAATCATTGGCATTTATTACAGATTAAAAATGCAGTAAAGTAATTGCATATTGTTCATTTTGACGTTTAATAAAATACATTTACGCTGAATCAATTTAATTGATATTAGTTTACTAGAAACCATGAATCCTTCTCCAACGAAAACACCTATTTGCTTTGATGAAAGTGGATAATTAAACATTTCTCGTGTATTTACCATTTCATGTCCTAGAACAAAAATTTCTTCTGCTGTAATAACATTCTCGTTTGTATTAAGTTTCCTCAAAATTTTTTCAACGAAAAAGATTTTTGAATTTTGTAATAACACCAAGTTGTCAGGAGAAACTGATTTCAAAGTAGAATTATTGATTTTAATTGATGAAATAATTTTATAATTATCTTCACAATAATTAAATAATCCTGCAGCATCATCTATCACACATTTCGATACAGTATGATTTTTTTTAATTTTTAATCGATTTCCAGATTCCAGTTCAGCTAATCTATTGACTATCTGAGTTAGTGGCTTTTTGGGCGATTTCACTAATTTTTTAAAAAGACTAATGTAACTTTCGCCCCAAAAAGCTGAAATGCCACTTAATGGAATATTAAAATTTACAACATCGTCTGTTAAATGAATTAAATTATGCATACTGAGTACTTGACAGCCTTCTCCATACAGTGACGGTAATAATGTGAAGAATTGTGTTAATAAATATCTAGCATAATCACAACCATTTACTATTAATTCATCACTATTTAAAATGCGACACGCTGCAAATAACAGCAAAAAATGTTTATAATAATGATCAGGTAAAATATCTTTTAAAACAATAGGACCACAATATAAAAGTACAAATCTAAATTGTGTAGCTTTCCATCTTGAAACAAGATTCACGTCAAATCTTTTCCTCTGAAATTCGCAAGGCACGTGGGGTGTTAAGTTTAACATAACACTGTGAAAATTTTTGATTACTCTTCTCTTGAGTCGTGCAACACTTTTTTTTAAAATCCAACTTTCCATCAAATATTTCATGACTCCAAGATATAGAAGATGCATAGAATCTAGAACTACATTATTAACAATATCAAAATTTGGCAGCATTAATAATGAAGACACCTGATTTTCTTTATGATGTTGGGCTTGATTTTGTTGTTCGAACGACTCTTTCGTTCGTTTAGGTCTGTCTACTTGAGGATATACTACTTTTTTCTTGAATTTTTGTCCTACGCTAAACCCTTTAACGGTACACCTTTCACAAGCATAGAACGCACCAGGTGATTTAATGCACTTTATAAACGATCTTGCTGGAGAATCAGTGATAATTGCAATAATTTTAAATGAATACATTTTTCTATTGATAGTCACACCTTCGTTAATTAATTTAGTTGCTTCTGTTACAAAATCATTTAAATAATCAGAAGCACTCAGAGGTTTAGAATCCCCACAATAAAGAGCAACAACGAAAGGTTCACAAACGTAGTTTTCATGATAGATTTTTACAATTATCGGCCAAACTTGTATTTGTGAGTTGTTATAGATTTGAACACCATCAATATGAACTAATACAGAGATTTCTTTCTCAATGAAGATATCACTATCAATTACCTGGTTCAAACCATGTTCTATACCAATATAAAAAT